AGAAAGTGTCGCAAATGCTCAAAGCCCTATGAGAAATCTGCCAACAGCAACATCAATAACATTTAGGGATAGCTTGCAAACTGTCACTGAAAATCCTGCACACCTTATACTTGCAAAAATTGCACTTTGGTCTTCAAAAAATGGCTCCAACTTCATTTCTTATTACATTTTTGTACAAATAAATTATTTCTAACAACTAATCTATTACTTATAAAAATAAACCAAATGAATAAATAAATTATTAAAACCAATTTTATAAAACATCCAACATAATAACACAACAAACACAATGGTTATTGGCTAGTTTTTGCACATCATACATATCAACATACACATTAAACAACCTTTGTTTTTCTAAGACAACTTAAAATGAAAAAAGATGCATGAAAACTTTTGTCACATAAAATAACAATTATAAAGTTGTCATATAAAATATGTATAAGCTTATTTTTATACAAAACCAAGTTATCCATATTTTCCAAAAACTAAGATTTCAAAAAATCAAAAATCTAACCAAACTTGAAAGGTGAGTCTGATACCAATTGTTGGGTTTTTATTCAAAAACTAGTTTAAAAAACATAAGATTTTGGCAACGGAAGACTTATAAATTTTTAAATAACATAAATAAGTTAAACCCACCAAAGATTATCTTGCAAAGTTTCGAAAGAAAAACAACACCAACCAAAGAAGAAGACAAGGTATCATGATATGTTGAGGGATGACATCAAGGAGTTTGTGAGCTTGTTAGGGTGCACGACCCTAAATGATATGATTGCTATAGAATGTGTGTAGGAGATTGATTTGAAACCCTTTTTACCTTCAACCTACACACTGTAAGTAGTTCCCTCGAAAACCTAGCCCTATTTGTGAGGTTATTGAGCCTTTGAGTGTTTTGGACCGTTCTTGGTGCATCTTGGAGAAGAAGAATCTCATTGGAGAAGTGTTGATTGTCTTGGAGCTTGTAGATCCAGACCTTGTTCACCTTGATCGTTCTTCTAGAGGTATAAAGCTTCAAACTTTATGGCTCTTTAGTGTAGATCTAGTTTTGGGTTAGGTTATGAGCATGTTTTGGTCCCATGTCTTGGATCTTGTGAGTAGAAGTTACTCCAGAACCTTTGAGCATCGTCTAACCTTTTATGAGGTCATTAAGTCATAAAATTCAAATCTTGATGGGTATATCTCTTCCATGCACGAGTTAGTGATCTTTTGGTGAAGTTATAAATCTAGGATTTAGGTTTGGACACCATTAAGCCATGCAAAGTCATAAAGTCATAAACTTTGTGACTTAAGACATCCTTTAGATTCAGATCTAGGAGTTGGACTTTAAGTCTTAATGTATTAAAAACATGGAGTGGATTTGGGCGGCATCGGCATACGTTGGGAGTACCTTCTTGGTACACTGCACGTAACGTGTTTCAACCCGTTACCTTTTTTTCGAGCACGATGTACGATGGGCGTACAATGGTGGTACACGGGGAGTACTCACCACAAGCCATTTTGGGCCGTTTTAGGCTTTAGATCATTTTGGGTTTGGGCTATGATTGGTTAGGCCAAGTATAAAAAGGGTAAAATAGTATTTTACCCCTTAGCATGATAGAATATGATTGGACCTTTGATTATGGGTTATTACCTTAGTTATTGATTAGGATTGATCTTCGATATGTTCAGTATGAGAAGCTGTGGTAGCAGTAGCTCAAGTGTGAGATTTATTGACATCGGATTGATGTGAGTCTCCTTACTATACTTGTGCGTCAAAAGCACTAATGTAGGTCCACTGGAATGTGTTATATAGAATGCTAGTTGTCTTTATGACTCTTGCATTATATGTTTGGTTGGGTCCATGGACATGCATGTATGGCTAGGCCCATTGCATGAGTGGGTGGGGCCCATTGTATGTTGGGCTAGGCTTAGTGTATGACGCGCTAGGCCTAATTGTATGTTGGGTTGAGCCCATTGATTAAGAAGGGCTAGGCCCATTATTATGGATTGGGTCCAATGTGCAGGCTAGGCCCAATGATATGTACGGTATGTGGTATTTTAGGAAACTCACTAAGCTTTTGTTTATTATTTTATGGTTATGGTTTCAGATACTTCTAGTTTAAAAGGGAAGGGCCTGATGTGACTGCACAACATCCCCAACGTTTTGTTCCGTAGTAGTTGTTTACGACTTTTACTTTGATGTTAAATTTTTTTTTTCACATTGTTTATTTTTGGGAACAAATTGTTGTATTGATCAACGTTTTAAAATGAAAATTTTTCCATGTGATTTTCGAGACGTTACACAAAGTTAGGCCTTGACCCACCCGACACTAAGTAAAAAAAAATTGTGCTTCATATGGCCTGAATTTTGCCGATCAAAGATTTGATAACCACCACTTTTTGAATTGTTGCTTACTATTTCGTATTTCGTTCATTATTCATCAGCCATCAGGTTAGTATATTAATTTTTGGGTAAATTACACCATTCGTCCCTCGTGCATATGCACAAAAGCATGTTTAGTCCCTATTTTGAAAAATTAACTCGGACTGTCCTTATGTTTGTTTTTTCTTGCGCGTTTAGTCCCTCTGAACATAAAAAGACTAATTTGCCCTTGATAATTTCTTTTTTAGTTTTCTTTTGTTTATTTATCTTATTTTAATTAAAAAAAAAAGAAAAAAATAATATATCTCCATCAAACACACCACCCCTCCTGCCTCCCGTTTCCCCATATCCCTTTTACCCAATAGTCTTCATCTTTCTTATCTTTTTCTTTGGATCTGTTGGATCTAGATCACCGGAGCCACCATTGATGGAGCAAAAAGGAAGCACCGGGATGTTGGTTCCATACACAAATAGCAACCAGACGTTGTTGTCCTTGTGGCCCTAGTACACTGATTCTGTCGTTGGGTTTATGGGAGGAGATGGTGACTTGAAAGTTGGGGAAGGAGGGAGGGGGGAGGATATGGGTGGATTCATTGGAAGAGTAGATGGTGGCGTCTTAGAGCTGCTGAATCTACATGGTGGGTCGTTTTTATTTTTGGCAGGCGGAAGAGTTGATGGTGGCAGTTTTGGAGCTGTTGAATCTAGGTCGTCGGAGCTACCATCGTCGGAGCAAAATGGGAGAACAAAAGTGCTATTTTCTGCCTCCATCTCAGTTCGAAACCCTTGCTCCACCTCTATTTCTTTAAAATCAGGCAAACCCTCTTTTTCACCCCCTCTTTCTTTGCATCGATATAACAACCACCATCGTGAGTGATACAAGCACCGTCACTGACGTCTTTTCATGTCAACGAATCCCCCGAAGAACATAGTTATGCTTCCTTCGTGGCGCCTCCAGTCCAGTGGTGCTCTTGGTGGCACCGGGAGATCTTAGAAATGAGATGATGAAGGTGAAGGTTTGAAACCCTAGGTGGTGTCGATGGTGGAGGGTTAGACTACTCATTGTCGGTGTATTGTTCTTGGATCGAGACATGAGTTACTTATGGTGTTTCCGCTGGTGATGGCAATATCAGATTCCGATGGTGGTGGTTGCATCAGATTCCGGTGGTTGTGGTTATAGTAGATTCGACGACTCTAATGTGTGTCAGAATTTAGAGGAAAGGGGGTGGGGTGGGGTTTTTTTTCTTTATTTTGTATTTTACAAATAATTGTAAGAAAAATAAAATAAATGAAAAAATAATTAAAAAAGGGTAGAATAGTCATTTCATGTCTCACAAGGGATAAAGCATGCAAATTTAAACTAATGAGGGATGACATGTGCTATATTTAACCAAATGAGGGACGGTTCGAGTTAAAATGTGAAAATAGGGACTAAACATGCTTTTGGACACATGCATAAGGAACGAATGGTGTAATTTACCCTTAATTTTTTTATCTATTATCTTAAAACTCAACTACTTGTTTTGATTTTTATCATAGACAACTTTTAGTGAACTTACTTTTTACCAATTTAGGTTTGCAATGATTTTAATTTCTAATAAATTAGGCTAGTACTTCGTGCTATGAACAAATTATTTGTATTATTTTATTTATATGTATTATTGTGTTACATATAAGTTTATTTTGTATAAAAATATTATACTATGTTTATAATTGATATCACTAAGCTTCTATGTTTAAACTCTATTCTAAATGATTTTAATGGTATAAGAGAGTATTATGCGCTATTTAAATGAACAATTTATTTTAGAATACATACATTGTTACATTTTGTTATCATTTGAAATATTTTGTTACTCGTTCATATTTTATAAATTATTTGACTTACTCTAAAATAAAATATTTGCTAAATTATTGTAGGCAATGACATGCATCGATGGGGAAAGAAAGAAGAGTTAAACAGGTATATTGGGGAATTAAACAGGCACATTGTTGGAGAATTTGGAAACAAGTTACCCAAAAACCGAGAAATGTTCACATGCATATTACCCAACACCGAAGACCAAGCATTCAAGCACATATATGAAAAATCTAATAATTTTATAAAAGTATTTGAAATTAAGGGTTTTTGTGTGTGTGTGTGGTTGCTGTTGCCATTACACATAATTTCAGGATACGTGACAGTAATATAATAAAATGTAAATATTTGATAAATAGTCTAAAAGAATTTTCCAAAACAAACATCTTCGAAAAGAATAAAGTGTCACAATTTTGATGATAAAGAGGAATATTAATATTAGTATAATGTGGGCCCATAATCGGGGTTTTAAGCATGTACTTATGCTCGTCTTTATAGGGACAAACTCAACACAACACAAGAGAACACAGCGTTTAATTTTAGCTACCTTACCTTAATTTATGGGAGACAAGAACTTAACACGCACAGGATTCAAGTCTTATGTTTATGTTACCCATCATGTCTGTCTCTCCACTGATCTCATGACTGACCCACCACCCATAGACCATACTCCAAACTCCATATATATATATATATATATATATATATATATATATATATATATATATATATATATATATATATATATATATATATATATATATATATATATATACAGAGAGAGAGAGAGAGAGTTCCAAAGGTTTCCTGTGGTTGGCATATCACACATGTACATCTTTGTTTCTAAAAGGTTGGTTAATGGTAATGCCCAATCTCATGAGAATGAGTTGTACGTGTGCCCACAAGCCCAACATTACATGGCTTTGTCTCATTTCATTATTTTTAATTGCACCAGAAACCTACATTTATGATGACTCTGATTGTTATTTGTGTTGTAACTTTTTGATGTGTTTTTTTTTTCTTCTGGATATATATATAGACTGGTTTTTTGAGGGAGGGAAGCTAAAGAATGGAAAGTGAGAAGTCAGGAGAATTGATTCCGCAACCAGAAACACCAATGGAGCCGATGGAATTCTTGTCCAGATCCTGGAGTCTTTCTGCTGATGAAATTTCAAAAGCATTAATGGCACATAAATCAAGAAAAACGGAATCATCATTGGTTGCACCACCACCACAACCACAACCTGTGAGGAGTTAGTTGATGATTTCTGAAATCCCAAAATATAAGAAATTCAAAGGAATATTGGTTTTAACTGATAATGTGTTGCAGCAAACAAAGGTGATGAAGGTATCAAAAGTTGAAAGGGTTAGCTGGTTTAATCACAGCAGCAGCAGCATAAGAGGAGGAGGGAAGAAAGATAAAGTCCGGGCAGAAAAAGCACAGACCCATGCTGCCCTGTCTGTGGCGGGTCTGGCGGCGGCTTTGGCCTCCATCACAAGAGCAAGAAGCATGGAGACGAATACGATGGAGGAGGATTCAAGAATGAGCAGTGCTGTTGCGTCGGCTACAGAGCTGTTAGCAACCCATTGCTGTGAGTTGGCGGAATCCTCTGGAGCTGATCATCATCTTGTCTTGTCTGTCCTCCAATCAGCCATCAACATCCAAACTCCAACCCATCTAACAACTCTCACAGCTGCAGCTGCAACAGGTCCTCATCCTCATCAACTCAACTAACTATATTTTTAGATATAATATATATATATATATATATATATATATATATATATATATATATATATATATATATATATATATACACTCAGTTATTCAATTACAATAATATAGCTTTGCGAGGTGAAGCAGCCCTCAAATCTAGATTTCCAAAACAAGCAAAAAAGAATGCTACTGTCATTCCATATGAAAAGGGAATGCCACCTCCTGCTGCTCACACTCAAACCATTAAATTTAAACCCCAGGAGGAGGAGGACGACGACCACCATCACTCTTCTACTCAACACATGCTGCAACAAGTATACAAAGGTTGCTTGCTTTCATTTCATGATTTCATCTCATCGTATGTATTATTATACTACTAGTAATATATATATATATATATATATATATATATATATATATATATATATATATATATATATATATATTATATCACTCTTCTACTCAACACATGCTGCAACAAGTATACAAAGGTTGCTTGCTTTCATTTCATGATTTCACCTCATCGTATGTATTATACTACTAGTAATATATATATTATGACGAGAAAACAAGTACTACTATATGAAAGGCTGACCAGCTTTCTGATCAATCAATGCCCAGGAGGGTTACACTGGAAGCAAGTATCCATATACATAAACAAGTCCCAGGTAAAAAAAAATTAGAAAACGGAAGTACGAGATTTGAATAAAACAAAAATTATGGCACTAAATTTTTGCATGACAGGTTATAATCAAGCTCAAAAGCAACCATGTGGGAGGGGCCTTTTCCACAAAGAATAAAGGCAAGCTTCCACTTCATGAATGTAATTTAAACCGATGATCAAAAAAAAAAAAAAAAACACTTTAATTTTTGTTTGCAAACAGTACTACTACCTAGGACCATTTTGTGGGTCCCACTCCTAACTCTCATCCTAATATAATACTCATTTAATGAGCATATTTACATCTCCGGTGAAAGAAAGAGACCCACCAAACCATTGCTCCTCCTCAGCCCATCTTCAATGCATTGAACTCAAATGAGTTCAATGGATTGCCACATGTACATACCACTTACAATACAATTTTATCTATTAAACTCTACACTCCATTAAACCCAATACAATTTAATGGATTGCCACATCATTTATGTATGTGTGTGTGAGGAGAGAGAGTGTGGAGTTCAATGAGGATTGAACTCCCCATTCTATTGAGTGCCATGTCATTAACCCACAATAGGGATTTTGAGTTTAATGGAATTAAACTCCTCATTCAACTCTCCATTAAACTACCATTGGAGATGGCCTCACATCACATCACATAATATCTAGTATATTATATTATGAGTAATAGTATATATTGAGTTGGACTAGGACCGGACCCACAAACAGCAACACAGATGAAAATGAAAATACTTGAATTAATCAAATCACAGGTGTTGTGTATGGCGTGTGCAATGAGAAAGGGTCTTGGCCATACTGCAAAGAAAGGGAAAATGCAGATACCTATTTTGGGGTCAAAACAGCAAAAGGTCTTCTGGAGTTCAAGTGCAAGACAAACATCCACAAACAGAAATGGGTTGATACAATTCAATATCTTCTACAAATCAAACAAACTACCAACCAACATCACGCATTCGCATTCCATCAAAGCTTAGACTAGACAACCATCAACCATGTGTCGTGTTATGACTGCATCTAGTCTAGCTTATTATATATATATATATATATATATATATATATATATATATATATATATATATATATATATATATATATATATATATATATATATGGTTTTTGTAACCCTTGTGACTATGTACACACCACTTAACATGCTTTGCGCCTTGTCTCATTGGTTATTTACTTAATTTTTTTCTGTTTGCTTCTGTTCCTTCCACTTGTATAATATATATATATATATATATATATATATATATATATATATATATATATATATATATATATATATATATATATATATATATATATATATATATATATATATATCAAAATCAACAAACGTTTCCCTATTTAGACACTAGAAAACACAAAGTTTGAGAGAGAAGAAAACTCCAACAACAATGAATTTAACAAGGAGAATTGAGAATGCACATATATCTTATTATTATGCCCACTTGGATTGGAACAACTTAAATTAGAATGAATAATGAAAACTGAAATACAAAAAACAACACAGGTACTTTTGATCAGCATCATTTTGAGCTTACTCAAAATACAACAGTCCTGTTGTCTTCATAAGGTAGAACGCGTAACTCACAATATGACTTGATTGCCTTCATAAGGCATTGTTTTTCAAGATTCTCGGATTTCTGAATAAAACTCAGCAAATTATCCTTGTGGGAGACTCTCTCAACCTGCAACCCAAACAGAAACTATTGACTTTTCACCTTATATAGCATGATAATTGCTTTTGTTGAGAAACTCAAAACTCTTTTATTACCATCTGCTCAATGATTGGGCCACCATCAAGCTCCTCCGTGACAAAATGGGTTGTGGCACCAATCAATTTGACCCCAGCTTCAAAAGCCTGCCATTCTCCAATAAAAAACATAAAAATAAAAAGCTTAAAATAGAATTTGGAAATTGGAACACAGAACCTGCCTGCCTAGATGGATTTCCTCCCTTGAATGATGGCAATAAGCCATGATGGATGTTAATCACATCCTTCCCATATCTTTTCAAAAAGTTTCCAGACAACACCTGTCCTGGGTGAATAAACAAATAAGACCTTTTTTCCCAATCCTGCTGCGATAGATACTACTAGAAAAACATTTACCTGCATGTATCTAGCAAGGACCAAGAAATCTGTGTCTTCAACCAACCCCAATATCTCATCTTCTACATTCTTTGACTTGGACAGATAATGATATGGAATCTCATGTCTTTCAAGGAACCGCATCACATGGGAATTCCCCACCCTATCATGATTGCTGTTCAAAATACAGATAGATATACAACATTTACTGGTCAACAATTAACAAAAAAAAAATTCATAAGTCCCATGCTTTACCTGATTACAGAGCTTATTTGAACCGGAAGTTTTCCATCTTGCCAAGCATGCAGTAGATCAACAAGACAATGGTCCTGCAGCAGCAACCTCCTTACTAATCTAATACTGGTAACAATTATATCCTAGAAAGAAGAAGAAGAAGAACCTGCTTCGAAGCAAGAAGAGCAATTTTATATTTAGGGTCTACAGAAGGCACTCGAACGAGCGATTTAACTGCATTGAACATCTTTGATAGGTCAAGGAAGTCCTCGTTCATTTGCTTCCGCTGCCATTTAATTGGGTCGAACACAAACTCACTGTGAAACACAATTTATTCTTCCTTGTTACTTATCAACTTCATGTGAAGTTGGGATTATTAGTAGATTAATATACTTGCACTTGTAAAACCAACATACATCAAACTCATGTACACTAGTAGGCTTTAATTGCAGAATTCTGTTCAAAGATACCCAATCCCTAACATCCATTTCCTATTAACTTTTAAGAGAATGACCAAAATACCCCTCGATCTCACAGCTATTGTAATTCTACCTTTACAACTACATTACAACGGTGTCAAAAGCAAAATGCCAAAACCGTTGTGGACAAAACCATTTTGTTCACTAGTATGCGGACATGAAAGGCGATGCGTGATGATTGATGCCGAGAGGAGAGATTCCGAAACTCGCCTCCCCATTCAGTTTGGACTGATTTTAGTTTGGCTTGAAACCGTCTTTCAACCATCACAAGGAATTTTTTAAAAGTGACATAAACATCAGATTTTAATTTTAAAGGGAAGATCCACATAAATCTGACACAGCATAACATAATTTGAGACCATCATAAGAGGTAACGGGAGCATGACCCCTTCACAGAAAACTAAATCCATAATGTGTAAACTTTTATAAATAGATGGTGATAAATGAAGTTTAGACGATTTTCCAACGGAACAAGAATCACAAAAGATACTAGCACACTTATTTTGTAAAGGTAAATGATATTTAGATAACATGGACTTCAAAAGCTGATAATGTAGATGTCCAAATCTTTGATGCCATGTGGTGGAAGAAACACTACGGGTAGAAAACACAATTTTGTGAACTGGTTGAGTTTGAGGAAGACAGAAGGAGTAGAACCTCCATTACTTGGACCCATGAGGAGGATAGTGTGTGTAAGCTTGTCCTTCACAACAAAGAAAATGAAGTGAAATTCAAAGTACACATGATTATCAAGACAATTTTTGGACAGAAAGTAGGTTTTGTTTTATTTCGGCTACATGAAGTATGTCTTTATGGGAAAAGGTTTTGTTTGGCGAGAAAAATCATGAGGATTCAATATGTAGAACGGGTGAACACTAACCATTGCCAATTTGAAGGTTGTGATCACCGTAGTAGGCCTCAAAGTTATCGAAGGTATATAGGTCTGGTGCAACATGATGACTAGAGCCGGTATCTGGAAGCCAAGAGCTAGTCGTTTGTGAGCGGTAGTCTGTAAAGTTGGCCGAAGGTGGCTGCCTCGTCCTCATAGTAGTTGGATCACGATTATGGCATTAAGATGGGATATGACCAATCCCACACCTATTGCATATGCCAAAAATAATGTTTTGATTAGAAGCCAAACTAAATTGATAACGCTTACCTCCTCCTTGACTTTTGTTGTTGTAGTTTCCTCGTCCATGTCTAGAATCATGACCACAACCACAGTTATTTCTAGATCTATTTGTGTAAAGGACTTGTACAAGTTGTAGGTTGTGCATGGACGAGCTGAACTTAAAGACCAAGTTGTAACAGAAACTATTAAATAGCGTGTTGATCCGGTGAACGAGTAGACGAAGTGGCACTTAGAATCATTGAGGCGCAATTGTTTGTGACAATCATGAATGCTTGAGTAGAAGAGACGCCGGTTGCTAATTTCTTGATCATGTAATCATGGTCAAATAACAAACACGAAGTTCTACAAAGGCAGATGAGAATTAGCAACCAAGAAGAGTTGATTTCAACCCGTTGTATTCTTCTCTAAGACCCGAGATAACAAACATCACCAAATCTTTGTCTTTCATTGGTTCGCCTATATTGTCGAGCGCATCATAACATTCTTCATTTTTCTTGAGCCCTAGTCAGTTATGCAGATGAGGTTTCATCATCATTCATCCCTAGTTTAAGAAGTTGAGCCTTTAGGGTGTATTCCCTAGAGGATGTGTGAGGAGCATATGCATGCTCGAGAGTCAACTAGAGATCTATAACATCTTGTTTTGAGGCAATTTCATTGTTGACCCTTATATTGAGATTTATTGTATATTGGTCCCTAAGTAAAAGAAAGAGTGCAAAAGGGGCCATTGTGGCATTTTGGTAAAAATCAGGCTTTGGGAGTACGTTGCGCCTACGTGTGTATGCTAAGCGTACTAGGGCACGCCTTAGTACTTTGGGCGTACACCTCGTACGCACGGCGTACATGAGGTTCATGCAAACCCTAATTTTTAGGTTTAGCTCATACTTAAGCATCATTATAGCCTCACATCTCATTCTTATTCAACCTCTTTCCTATGAAATCGATCCCCAAGCAAACCTTAAGAGAAAGAGTATTTTGGAGCCTTTAGAGTGTTTAGAAGTGTCCATGGAGAAAGAAGAAGATGGTGAGAACTGAGAAGAACTTGGAGCTTGAGAGCACTTTGGATCTGGGATTTCATCTTTGTTTGCAACCTCAAGAAGGTATAAATTTTGCATCTTTTCCACTCTATCTTGTAGATCTAGGTTTTTGCTCTTTTAGGTCACTTTTTGGTCCCAAAATGGCGATTCTTGAGCATGCATGTTCTTGACCCATTAAGTTGTTCTTTTAGACCTTAGAGAGGGTATTAAGTCATAAAAATAAGGTCTTAATGGTTGGACATGCTCCATGCATTCCTTGGAAGGTCTTAATGTATTAAGATGTTGAATTAAACACTTAATGGACATGCAAAGTCATAAAGTTGGAAACTTTATGACTCTTGAGGATGATTTGGTCGTGGATCTAAGAGCCTAAGGCATTAAGCTCTTAATGAGAGTTTGGGAAGATTGGGCGTACGCCTAATCTACAGTGCGTATGTGGTCAAACTCCCCGTTGGTGGTCAGTGCTTGAGTACGCCCTGCGTACATTTGGAGTATGCCCTACATACGCATCCTGTGTTGACTTGGCTGGGTTGACTCAGTTGACTTGTTGATTTTGGCCGGTCTGACTTACTTTGACCAAGGGGTATTTTGGATGGTGTTTGAGAATTGGTCTTTTTGATGGATAGGTGTCGGATAGAGCTGAGATTCGGAGTCGGGACCTCATCAACTATTGATCAGATCGAGAGGTGAGTTTCCTCACTATACGTATGGGTCGAAAGCACCAAGGTCGGCCCATTGGATTTGATATACTACTTTGTGATAGAATGTCGTTATGCTATAGTGATCTGTTAGATCTAAGTCTTGGTATATAGGATGTGAGTATGCAGTAGTGATTTGTAGATCTGCCTGTTTGCCTGTTGGTTGATTATATGTTTATCTATTATGTATATGTCGACATATTTTGTGTGGTTGTTGAGGGTTTACTGTTTTGTGCGTGAGCCAACAAACCGGGGCATTCCAACCCGATGGTTAATTGGGCCCAAAGGTATTCCATCCCGATGATGACTAGATCCGTTGTATATTGGCATTCCAACCTGGGGTATTCCATCCTGATGGATGGATATTCCAACCTGACTGGACCCGTTGTATATTGGCATTTCAACCTGGGGTATTCCATCCCGATGGATGACTGGACTCGGAGGTTGATTGGACCTAGGGTATTCCAACCCGATGGTTGACGGGACCCGTTACATATAGGCATTCCAACCTGGGGTATTCCATCCCGATGGATGATTAGACGCAGAGGTTGCTTGGGTATGGGGTATTCCAGCCCGATGCCTAGACCCGTTGTATATTGGCATTCCAATATGGGTATTCCATCCCGATGGTTGATTGGACCCGACATGCTTGATTGTATATGTTATCTATTGTGTGGTGGTACTTTGTGGGAACTCGCTAAGCTTCGTGCTTACATTTTTAGTTTATTGTTTCAGGTACTTTAGAGAATCGTGGCAAGGCGAAGGCATGACCGTACACATGTTTGGTTTTACGACTAATTGGATATTGGGAGACTGATATTAAATAATATTTTGGAAACAACGGTTTTGTAAACACATCTTTTAGTAAATGGGTTTTTTTGAAAAGTTTAAATTTGTTGAAATCTTTGAGATGTTACAAGATCACAAAAAGTAATTCGGTAAACGTGTCGGAATGATGCCTCAGAGACCCATGTTATGTAATTAGGGTTAGGTTGTGGTGGCGGCACTGAGGTGCTGTTGACAACTTTTGCCATCAATATAATCGAACAGGTTGTTAGAGACAAGGAATGATTGAACCATTGCTTCCAGAGCCATAACTATTTGAAGAAAAGCCATAATTATTTGGAGATAAAGTGAAGCCAAACTTGTGGGAATTATGTGTGATTTTCTCAGTTGAGGTGAAGGCTACAATAAGAGCTATTGATAAGCAAAAAACAAACTATCTGGTAGTCGACAACAACAGGGAAGGGAGAAGAAAGGGCAATCGGCAACTTTTAGGGTTTCTGGGATATGGCTCTGATACCAAGATAAACTTGGTAATCAACATATTGTATTATTGTATATAAATCATGATAATAATAGAGTATATATAAGAGATATACTTACACTCTAAACCCTCTATAATATATATATATATATATATATATATATATATATATATATTATTACACTTAATTGTCTAATAGAAAATCATGGCAAACAAAAGTTTGCTTGAGTTTCACATCTAGATGGTAATTAGTGGTTCACCAAAATCTTGAATTCAAGAGCAAAATAAGTGAAAACACCTAAAAAAACAATCTTATCAACAAAAAAATATAAATAAATAAAACACAAGTAGACCACACCACATACTAACCTTCTTGAGTAGAAGACATTTTTGTTGTGGGGCACAAAAATATCAGCTACCAATATGTTCCCTCCCCTTGACGCAATACACTCGGATATTTTTGCCACGATTCCAACTTGATCCTATTAAGAATACAATAAACTCCAAGTCATCGAGTTGTCAATTTGTTTGAGACATAGTCAATATATATTATAAACAATACAACTTGTAGAGTAGGTAGTGAAGCTGTGATAAAAAAGACACAAGACTTTCTTAATTACATCTACAAAGTAGGTATGGCAATTAGGCAATAAGAATTACTTAATTACATTACTTCTTGTGGTTATGAGGAATTCAATGTAAACATTTATATGTTGGTTAATGCTTTTGTTATTTTCTGCTAATTTATATACACTAAAATAGCTCTAGTCCATACAATTCAATAAATCAATTCCTCTGTTCAAACACATTTAAATCCCTAATATGCTATTCCGATTAAGGGGGTGTTTGGATAGGAAAAAAAAGTGGCTAGTTATTGCTTATTGTTTATTCTCACCACAATAAGCTGAGTTGAAGTGTTTGGATAGAAAGCTTAAAAATCAGCTTATTGTGAGAGGAATAAGCTAAATAAAGCTGATTTTAATAACCAATGAGGAGGAATGCTTATTGCTTATTGTGGTAGGAATAAGCTAAACAAGCTAATCCAAACACTTTTTAAAAAACTGTATATTCCCACAGCAATAAGCTAAAAACATATTTATCCAAACACCCCCTAAGTCCTAATGATTTACAATAGTAAACCCCCCTGTTAAAAAAACAATCAGTCGCTTCAAATTCTGTTTATGATTTTTGAGCTTTTAAATCCCTAGAATATAGTTCATAAAGAACAACGTTAACGACTTTATGATTATTAAAAAAAAAAAAACAAGAGCAAATTCAAATACATATGAGAGGAGGGGGAGACTTACAGGGCAATGAAAGACGTGTATACCATGAGCAAGGGAAGGATCAGGGGAGATTCTGAGGGTGTTAAATGATCTTTTCATGGTTGCCAAAACAATCGGCCAGCTTGAGGAAGCTCTTCTAAGAACGTTCATGACCTCTCTCTCCCTCTCTCTCTCACAGCGTCCACTCAAATCATCGACATTCCCATCACCTGCGGCTGCGACTTAGAATCGGCATACTTTTCAAAACCCAACCGGATAATAATAATTAATCTTAAAATTATAAAATATATAAAAATATGAGAAATTTACAAAAATAGCCATTTACACTAATGATATTACAAAAATAGCCAAAAAAATTCGAAATTACAAAAATAACCACCCATTTCGCAGATGAGAAGGTCCCATCTGTGAAATGGGCTTCTCATCTGCGAAAGTACAAGTGCCTAAAGCACAGTTGTGCTTTAGGCACTTGTACCTTCGCAGATGGCCTTTTTTTTTTTTTTAAATTTTTGCGAAAGTACAAGTGCCTAAAGCACAGTTGTGTTTTAGGCACTTGTACTTTCGTAGATGAGAAGGTCCCATCTACAAAATGGGCTTCTCATCTGCGAAAGTACAAGTGCCTAAAGCACAGTTGTGCTTTAGGCACTTGTACTTTCGCAGATGGCCTTTTTTTTTTTTTTAAATTTTTGCGAAGGTACAAGTGCCTCAAGCACAGTTGTGCTTTAGGAACTTGTACTTTCGCAAAAATTTAAAAAAAAAAAAAAAAGGCCATTTGCGAAAGTACAAGTGCCTAAAGCACAACTGTGCTTTAGGCACTTGTACCTTCGCAAAAATTTAAAAAAAAAAAAAGGCCATCTGCGAAAGTACAAGTGCCTAAAGCACAACTGTGGTTTAGGCACTTGTACTTTCGCAGATGAGAAGCCCATTTCGCAGATGGGACTTTCTCATCTGCGAAATGGGTGGTTATTTTTGTAATTTCGATTTTTTTTTAGCTATTTTTGTAATATCATTAGTGTAAATGGCTATTTTTGTAAATTTCTCTTTTTTTTTTTTTTTCTATTGCTAACATAACTTTAACAAAAGTAAATGGACAAACTAGGCAACATTTACAGTGGGGCCTTCATCAACACACCTCAAGCATTCAAGACAATTGTAGTCAGGGCCGGCCCAAGCCCAGGGCGAGCTGGGCCACGGCCCAGGGCAACAATTTCTAATGGGGCAGCAATTTTTCAAAGCCTCTTATAGGTATTATTGTATATTTGGGCCATGTTAAGAAGACTAGTCCAGTAAAGATCCATCCTGTTCAATACGTAAGGCAGCAGATTCTTGGAGACCTAATAGCGGCAACTACAACCTATTCCGACTCTTCGATCTAAACATCTAATAATTGAAGATGAAGAACACGAGGCGTCCTTCTGCATCGATCGCATACTGCCCTACTGTCTCATCCGCTTCACTGCATCAACAGTTCAACACTTCTCTTGCCCTCTCTCTCTCGATAAATCGATCGCTTCTCGCCTTCTCTTATATTCTTCTTTCTCTCTTTCCTGAATCGTCCCTACTGCAGTAATAGTTTATCTATTGCTCTAATTATGTTGTGCTAAAGACTTAAAGTGAAGATTCAAAGATGCGATAAAGTGATTGAATGAATTCGTCCTCCTAAGGTCCTAATCCAGTAAGTTTTTTTTTAGTATTTCAAATTTCTCGCATAAAAATACTTGATGTTTCGAAATCTGATACTGAGTATTGGTTAAATTTTTTGAAATTTCAGTTTTTTTATATAGCTTCCTGGAAAAGTGAATTTTTTTATCCAAGATTGCAGACTTGGAGTGTTGTTGATCCTGGATTACACTAAGCAATTTTCCAGGTAATTTTTTTAGATAATTTTTTTTTCCTTCGATTTCTTTTGACTTTTATAAGGTTTTTTCTAATGAGATTTTCTTAAATTTCTGATGTAGCTGTTTTTTCTGAATAGTATGATGTGTTTTTGGTATTGAAGTTTTGATATTTTCTGTTTTTTTAATAATATAATATAGTTTTTTTTTGAATAATTTGATGTATATGAAGATCTGATGTACATCAAAATTTGATAAGTTATTTTAATTTCTTAAAATATGTTGTATCAGATTTCTGAAAATCTGTTATGTAAATCCTGATGTCATGTGAAATCTGTTTTTGAACAACTAATTAGTTTTTTCTATATCTGAATAATGTGATATGTTCTTTCTGAATAATCTGATGTATATGAAATTCAAATATGTCTCACATTCTGATAAGTTATTTTAATTTCTGAAACTTTGATGTATTAGTTTTAGAAAATATGATGTTGATTCTCCATTTCTGCAAGATCATTTTATGTTTTTTGTATAGGTTTTGGTTCTGGATAGCTAACTTCGGTGGAAAGAAGTATTGAAAGTCAATTTCTATGAATTCTTGCTTATCATCAAATAGCATACAATTTTCTTCAAAAAATTTAAAATGGCACCGTTTGTATGCTTTTGTTTGTACAACTATGATTTAGTTTGACTATAAAATTTATTTCACTTTTCCTATATTATTTTGTTTAGAAATGTTAGGGCATTATTTTACTTTCTTGCCCCGGGCATTGAAATTAAATGGACCGGCCCTGATTGTAGTTGAAGATTCGTAACTACACTAGCTTGAAAAATCAATAAACTAAGCGTTTATGATCAAGCGCGGAGATAAATAGATATTCAGAAACACATAAATTAGAGAAAACTAACCTTCCTGTAGCAGGTGTTTGTGTTGTAAAAAACTTATCTATTTGTTCTCCTATCGGAGGGAAGAAAGGGAAGATATTCACAGATTGAGAGCAGAGAATCGGTGGATATTTAGGGCTCAAATTCCTCCTATACAGTTGAGATGGGCTTTGAGAACAGATAATCGCCGTTGGTCGATGATGTTGAGAGCTTCGCAATCGCAGTCTCAGTTTCGCAGAGAGAGATGAAGAGAGTTGAGTAATCGAGGAGTGTTGGGTTGTGAGTCCTGATTCCTGAGTGTGAGAAGAGGACATGATGGGCCTACGACAAAATTAAAGCCCTAAATATTTTATTAAAAAGATATGTTGGCCCATTTATTAGAGAATTGAGTTGGAGCCATAAATAAAAAGCTTCTTGTGTACCGAGTTTTCAACTTTTAAAAAGTATTTAGCAAAATATAATGGTTTACCTTTTTAATGGGTTTAAAACATTACTTTTATGTTTCTACTTTACAAAATATATACATAGTACACAATAGCATTCGGCATATAAAATCTTTATTTTAATATGAACCAATATTCCATATAGAAATATTTATTACAAAAACTTTATTTATTTATTTTTTGTATTAAAATTTTATTTATCATACAAAATAGCATCGACTAATTTCCTTTGTGCAAACGAATAGGTTGGTTTCATAGCTCATCATATTTTTAATAAATTTCTTTATTTTAAATGATTAATAAGTAAACCAATGATACGTTTTTTTTTTATTAAAATCTCATTTAGAAAGGTTGTTAAATTACAATAATAGTATGTAACATATGATTTTTTTAATGTTTATAAACAAAAATAAAAATAGAATAAATATAAACTATCACTATAAAACTTTATATATATATATATATGCATGAGCAGTGATATGGACTGCAGTTGCAGATATGCATGCATGCGTCTATATATATATATATATATATATATATATATATATATATATATGTGTGTGTGTGTGTGTGTGTGTTGATTAGTGAAAATACTGTTAGGGTTTTACATGTATTCCATTACTTTAAATAATACAAGAGTATAAAAAATTTACATAAATGACCATATACTATACAAATATAATAATTAACACTCCCCCACAGTTTAAGCGAGATGTTCATGAGCGTTTAAACTGTTCCGAAAATCAATGAACAACTATATAGGTAGTCCTTTAGTAAATATATCAGCAAACTGATGAGCAGATAGAACATGTAACACGCGAACCTGACCAATGGTAACACGTTGACCAATTGGCTCTTCCATTTTTGCAATCACATGAATTGCTTTTGCAAGACTAAAGACCTATAATATACGACAAAAACAAAATGAAAAAAAAAAGAATTCAAAAATCAATAAAGACCAAAAAACTCAAAAATATGATATGCCTTCCTAGGCTTAAGAGCTAACCCACAAACTAATGATGATTCATATCCATCATCTTGTGCAGTTGCCACATCAGCTTCATTCTCATGTAAAATCATTTTCTCGTTTGCTTAAAGTGCATCGGCTATAGCTAGTAAGATTGTACACCTCTCTTCTGCAGGCATGACCTGCATTTATATTTTTACTAATGAGTAACATTTTGTACATCAATTTATTATAATCATGGTATTAGAAAATCTAATCATATTCATACATTATATATACACACACACACACACACACACACACCGGGTATGAATATGATTAGATTTTCTAATACCATGATTATAATAAATTGATCTACAAAATGTTACTCATTTGTAAAAATATAAATGTAGGTATATATATTATACAACATGCAAATTGACATTCCAGTCGATCTAATTTTAGGTTTCTAACAGTTTTGGTCACTCAATTTCCATTTCTAACATTTCATTCCTAAAACTAATGATGCATCAATTAAGGCATCTGCATAGATTAAAACAAAGGAATTTTTAGTTATGTTTCTCATTTTTGTAATGATCAATTGGTTATGAACAAGATGATAGTTTATTAGATGAAAACATGATTAACAGTTACAAGTTGTATTGAAATTTTAAGCATCTAAGGCGATTACAACTACAAAACTTCTAAATTTTCAAGTTTCAGGTGATTCCTAGCAAATAAATATATGGGTAAGTATCGTTACTAACTTAGGAAGCATAAAGTTTTTCAAATGGGTGTAATGGTACTTTCATAAATTGAAGTTTTCCCCTTAGCTGTAAATTGAACCTTTTAAATATGAAATTAAAATCATAAGAATCTCAAAATCCATGGCGTTCTCACTAATTTCCAAGTGAAACCTACCTACAAAAGAAGAAATAGAACAAAGAAGGTGAAATCGGTGAATAGACACAATAAGTGAAAAAAAAAACACTAACCAGATACAATGAATGGTTTGTGATGCAATTCCATCTTTAATCTTTA